GGCTTTCATTTGTTTTTTTTTTTTGCGCGGGGGGGGGGGGGCCCACTGCTCAAAGGTGCTTCATTAAATTTTATAAAATAGTTAATAGAGAGGGTGGGTGGGCCGTGCAGTCTCTATAATGGCCCCATAACCACTAAGTTTACCATCTTTATAACATCCTAAATTTGATTTGATCATAGGATTTAAATGTGACACAAAATCATCATAATACTTATTATTAAACTTTATTATTAAAAATATTAAAAATATAATCTTCTTTATCATAATATAATAAAATAAATATTAATTAAGTTATACAAAACACATAAGGTTCTATGAATATATAGCCCAAATAATAACTAAGATATTGTGCTCTGGAAATGGCTCGGTGCAAGAATCCCTCTGTTGAAACTCCTAAACGTTATCCAATCAAGTTACATACAAACTGAAACATTCAAGCGTTGAGCTTGACAAGCTCAATGGCACACAACTACGATATGATGATTCATTTGGTTCATAATATAATTAAGCATGCGATACAAGTATATAATGGATGTATGGGTAACAACAAGCATGGATCATCACCACATACTTCTCATGGTAACAATATGCCGTGCATCACTACTAATATGAACATCAAACGACACAATATAGACATAATTAGATCATAGGGTTCAATCCACTAAGAATCAGACCAATAATCAATACAATACACAGTCTACCTAGAATCATACATTAGGACGATATGGTGTTAGGTCTAAAAAGCATCAGATAATAGAGCAATATGGTGTCCAATCCATATAGCATCAGACAACTCTCACATGGTTCTCCATATGATGCTAACTTGGTATACATAGCATCACGTACCTTAAATCACGGATATCAAATCACTTACCCTAGACCATGTACGGTCGAGCATCAAACAATACCAGTGTGGTCGCATCAATAATCATCGCACAATACACCTAACTCTCCATCATATTCTTCTATATGAAATCCTCCGACAGCGTCCTCTGTTGTGGCACTCCTTTTTCGAGACATTTCTCTACCGAGGCACTCCTCCATCATTACACTCTTCTGTCGTGGCAATCCAGTAAATATTCTTGAGTTTTATGATTACAGGGAAGAGTTTGTTTTGCACAGCAACACCCAACATACACAAACTCAACACAAAACATAATATCATGAAAAAACTTAAGTATGGAAGGGTAAAAGTGTACTACATCTACCTTACTTTTAGAAAGCTCTTTCTCCTTTCTTATTGCTCTAGAGGGCTTCCCAACATCTCTCACTTCAATAAAGAATTAAAGTGAATTAAAAATCATGAATTAAACTTAGAAAATTGGGTCTTAGTGCATAAACGAGATTAAAAATCCCTTAGCCAACCCTTCGGCCAAAACTCTACAAAAACCCACGTCTTTTCCAACTATGAGGAAAATATGATCTTCCCTTTTGTGAAGTCGAAAGGAGATTTTTCTTAAAAAAGTTCTTTTGAAAGATATTTCCTTTTGAGTTTTTAGTGAAAAATGAAGAGGATGTAAGAAGAAATAAAATGGGGGTGATGACCTCCTTTGTCAAACACATTAATTACCTATATCAAGCCTACACATAGAGCAAGAAGAAATCAAGGAAAAGATTGGTTAGTTTTCTTTAATTGGTAATTTACATTCTATATCTTTCTTTATATTAAAATCCCATTTCTAACCTTAATGGGGTTCAAAACATACCCAAATCAAGCTCATAGTTAGATCAACGGCCCTAAACACAAAAACTAAAATAATTTTTAAGGTTTAGGTCAATGCTCAAACGTTAACTTGAAAATATGAGTCGTTACAACTCTTCCATCTAAAAGAAAACTTCATCTTTGAAACTAACCTAATAAAATAAATGCGAATACAATAGCCGCATAGAATCCTCAGTCTCCCATATAGCCTTCTCAGTTCCATTGTTCCTCCACAAGACCACAGCTTATCACAAACCATGACTCATCAACATATTCTTAGCTTCAGTCTTGAATGTAAAGGAGCCTTTGATCATCAGAGATAGCTGATTCGCCTTTACTTTGTTCTCTAAATTCTTCACTCCCATCGTGATTTCCTTCACCACCATGTTAAAAAGAAATATTGAAGAAAAAATGATGGAAATTTCCAAGAAAAGTTTACAACAGACAGAAAATCAAAAGCAAAAGAAAAGGGAAGTAGGGATTTTGCTCTAACTTTTTCCTTAAATAGACAGAACACAATTTCTTCGCAATGGTCATAATTTAGACCTTTAGACTACGCCAATGACATAATGACATGCGTAAGAGTCTCTAACCGTTTGAAAGCAATCATCAGGACGGTTTCAAATAAATGACTCATTAAGTGCAATAAGTATTTGCTGTGTCTCAGTTCAACTCATTTATGGTATTCTCTCGACTAAGGATACAAGTGTTATGCCTCCTCTAAATATTTTTTACAAGTCGTACATCAGTTCAAGTCATTTTATGGTATTCTCTCGATTAAGGGTACAAGTGTTATGTCTCCTCTGAATATTCTTTAAAAGTTGTACCTCCGCTACTACTCCGTTTATCGAGCCTCAAAAGGAACTCCTATGCTGATCTAAGCTTTAGCTTTCCTGGAAGTCTCTAGAGCTAAATATTTTTCAGTTAGAGTGAACATTCGATTGAGTCGAGTAAATTTTTTTAGTTATTCGAATTGACGAGTTTTATTTTATAGCTTAAACTTTATTTGAAATTTGTTCAAGTCGAGTTGAGCCACGTGAAATTGTCCAGGCTTCTATTTAAATTTAATTATAAATATTTGTAATATTATAATACCATTTGATTCCAATTTAAAAATTTTCTATAATCATATACAATACATATATATTTCTTTTTATATATATATATATATATATCATACAGAGTTGACAGTGATGGCACAAGTAGTTGGGATTCATGAATCTGAACTTGTAAGGCCAAGTTTAAATTTCACCATCACTATAGGTGGTCAATCTATAAAGTCATATGTAAATCCTAATTCGGTCTTAGGTATGTCTTGACCCTAAATTAAAGGAGTCACATCTGATTTAAACTTGAAAACTAATTCATTAATTACTAAAACTTTTAATTTATTCAAGTTTTATTTTATAACTCGACTCGAATTTAAATTTTTTTTTGAGTCAAATTGAGTTTATAAAGTTACAAGTCGAGTCAATTCGAATCAATTTTTTTAATTCGAATTGAAAAAAATAAAATTTTTGAATCAAATCGAGTCAAATTTTAATCACTTCAAACTATAATCTCTTGATATGACTAGTAGGCCTATGAAATTTGTCAGTCAAATTCTTATCTTAGGCCTAACACAACATTAAAACTCAGTATATAAGTCAATATGCATAGAATGGATCATAAACTTTTCTTCTTTCTATCTCTCTCTACATAATATTTCTACTTCAACTTACCTAAACAAATCAATTACAACTCTCAGTCTAAATTAAAAGGGACGAAACATCTAAAATCACGGCAACCACTATTTTCCCATCAACAAATCTCTAGTAATTTTTGCCGTTCTATTTTCAATGATTTAGATCAGTTCTTTTAAACCATGTCTCTTCCAACAATTGATATATATATATATATATATATCTTCCTTTTCATTATCGCACGGTATTTCTTTTTAGCTCTTTCGGTAGTAATGCTGTATGTATGATTCAAGTATGAAGAGAGTGAAAGAAGCTTTTCGACTCGATGGACCTCTTTCACTGCGTTTCCTCTCTGATCATATACTGTTTGGAGAAAGTCATACACTGAGATGATCTACAGAACCTCACCATCATTTATAGCCAATGGCGTTGCGTCCCTGCCTCCCTGCAATGGGTTTGAAAAACTGTAGGAGTGGTCGCCGACAGCATATCCGGGGGGGGGGTGTCTGACATAAAATAGCCTTCTTTTTCTTTTGTTTTACATGTTCTCTTAACGGAACAAATACAAGTAGGAAGACACAATGGAGAGGGGCGCCAATACAGCAAAACAGATATTTTGTGGCCTTTTTTTTTTTACCTATAATACACATGCTGCGCTTTTAAGCGCCGCTAAAAACACATGCGATGTTATGACAAACGTAGTAAAAAGTATCACTGAAAATAGCGTTGCTAAAGTTAGCAGCGTTTTTTTAAAAAAATGCCACAATAGGTTTTGTTATTTAGTGGTGTTTGTCAGAAAAACGCCACAATAGGTGTTGATGTTTAGTGGCGTTTTTCCCACAAACGCCGTAGTATGTGATGATTTTTAGCGGCGTTTCTAGTATACAAACGCCGCTAAATGTTTGGTATATTGCGGCGTTTCTAATATACAAACGCTGCTAAATGTATGGTATATTGCGGCGTTTCTAGTATACAAGTACCGCTAAATGTATGGTATATTGCGGCATTTTTTTACAAACGTCGTTAAATAACACAAAATTTAACAATTCTAAAAATAATGTTTGATTACCCCAAATCTATTTATTCAACCTGTTCCATTATCCAACAAACAAAACAACAATAACATCAAACTCTATATCCATAACAAACAACATTAAATCTAATATAATAAATAAAAGTTTTCATTAACGTAATATAAGTTCAGTTAAACAAGGTTCAGTAACATTAACAGAATGCTCATAACATAAATGAGACTACGATGGTGGATTCCGAGGTTTCTGTATCATTAGCATCATATCATTGAGTCGTTTTTCAAATTCTTCACATCTCTGCTGATATACTACTTCTCTCTGTGCTGCCGCTGCTTCTTTCTCTGCTTCCGCTGCTACTCTCTCTGCTTCTCTTGCTTCATTTTCCGCTTTAAAGTTAGCCATTAGTTGATCCATCTCAACCAACTTTTCTTTTAAACGACTAACTTCGTGGTGGGAAGATCGAGCCTGTGATGACATGTACTGTGATGAGCTGGATCCAAAATATTTGGTGGGAGTAACGAATGATCCTTGACAGCTTGGTTTTCAATGTCATCATCATTAACAAGACCTTGACTCGAAGCAGTAGCATGATGCTCCGCCTTTTTCTCCCTCAATTTTTCCTAATAATAAATTGAATAATTAAATAAAATAAAAAATGTCATTGTACAAATATAAATAAAGTCAGGTAAATTTAAAACATCTACCCAATAAACGTATCATAATTTCTGCAACGTCAGCAGTCATAGGAGTTCATTGGTAAAGAGAGAGGCATGAAGAACTTACAACGGAGTTCATTACCTTTGTTCCATGTCAGAAAGGTTCAAGAAATATAGAAAAAGAGTAACCCAAAAGTATAACGGATAGAAGATTACCTTTGTTTCTTGACAAACGAGTTCCTCATAAACGAATAAAATTCGAGCTGCTCAACTCAATTAGCACCTACGAAGAGAGAAACGAATGAATTATTGATTTTAATCACTGATACTCAATTACATCCATCAATAGGGTAGTGTCAAACTATTCATTTTTATTATGCATGCTCTGCCAACAAGATAATACAGAATAGCAGTAATTCAATAAATAAGATTATGGAGAATAACCCTTTAATAGGTAGTGAATATATTCTATATTCTATATTCAGCAAACAAACCTTTAATAACAGTAATTTAAAAGGTAGCACAAAATCATATATTTTATATTCAGGAAATAAACCTTTAATAGGTAGTACATATAACGGCGTAAAGCTAAACTTAGCAATTAAAAACAGGAACAAAAGTGTTAGTTAAAATCTAAGAACAAATCATTAACTCTAAACATTAAAAAAATATTGTCACATTGATTCTTATACATTTACTGATCGAGATTAAGGTTGACGAGGATAAAATTAAGGTAAACTACACTTGATTTCATTTAGTTATAAGGATATTCACGCCTACACATGGGAATCCTTATGCAGAGGGTAAAATTTCATTGTTAAGATCATTTGGTACGGCATAAAGCCCAAAAGGTAAAATATAATGTCCAAAAACCATGAAACACATTAGAATCCTTTTGCAAATGGTACAATTGCATTTACTTTAACTATTTTATAAATATTTACAAAAAGAACCCTATGGAATTTACAAAATGAATCGAATCAAATTATCATGGAAGGTTAAAAAAATCTTATCAAACCAAACATATCTCTCCCTTAGTCATCAGCTTACACATTAAAATAATAATGGTAATAAAATAACAAACAAACACAATACTTATAGCCCTTCTGTGTTTTAAAAGGCGTGAGGCGCTCCAAGGCGATTAGCTACCCGAGAGCCTCAATTTTTTGAGGCGCTTTGAGGCGAGAGATTCACGTACGCGAGGCGCTTAATTTTACAAAACATTTGTAAATATTTTATAACCATATTTCAAACACAAAATAACTTAATAAGCAAAAACACCAAGTAGCATAGGTATACTATATTTCCTCCCCGGATCAATTGCATCATCAGCGGAACCGGTAGCATCGTCGGTGGCCATTTTAGAAAAACAATCTAACTATCTAAATAAACATAGCAGCAATCTATAAAAACATAAAATACAATACATAGCAAAAAATACATAACAACAAAATGTATCAAAACAGAAAACTAACAAATTATATATTTATAAACAGAATTTATATGAAGTGTATGAAGTAAAAACAGATTAGCAATAGACTGAAAACAGAAAACTAACAGATTATATATCTATAAACTAACAGATTAGCAATATAAACAGTAAGCTTTTTTTTTGGAAAAGCATAAAAAACATATTATAACTAACAAATTAGCAATAAAAACAGTAAACTAACATATTATAACTAACAGATTAAAAACAGAAAACTATAAACAGAATCTATAAATTAAACAGAATGCATATTGAGCAGGATTATCTATAAACAAATTACATATTTACATTGTGCTTAAAAGCCTAAAATGAGTAAATTCTATATTTCTATGAACAGATTATCTAAACAAATACCTTAATGGCGAAAACCTTAATGATTATATATCTAAATTCTAAACAGATTACCTAACAATTAAACATATTATAGATAAACAATTAAACAGATTACCTTAACAAAATAACAAGTAAGCAGATCACCTTAACAATGAAGCGGATTATATATCTACAGCTGTGATAACCGATAAAGAAAGCTTGTGTCTTCCAATATATAAACAATTAAACAAATTACATTGAAGATGAAGCAATTAAACAAATTACAGTGAAGTAAATTAACCATGTAGGAGTGGAGGGGAAAAGAAAAGCAGATTGTACATACACTACAGTGATACAAATTTTAAAATTAAGACTTGCCTTAATGGAGAAAATCGAGAAAGGAGATAGGAGAAACTGAGAAAGGAGTCTGCTTTCAACTTCAACGTAGAACAATCGCTGAATTAAGCATGAATGGAGGAGGGAGAGAAAATTTTAGGAGGGAAAAGAAGCTCCAGGGTATGCATCGGAGAAACTAGAGAGCTTGGATCATGATTTATGGACATACAATAATTAAAAAATTGGACGTTAGAAGGTCAAGAGACAGTTCAAAGTTCCAGGAATACATTAATATAAGTAATTGGAATTTAAAAGGTTTGACTGTTGGAAGATTAAAAGGTCTGACTGTTGGAAGAAAATCGAGCCCAGACCCAAAATTTAAAAATGGGTCATTGTACGTGAATCGCTAAAAGCATCGCCTCGTCGCCTCGTCGCCTCTCGCCGCCTCCGACGACTGAATCGCCGCCTCTTGTACTCGCCGCCGCCTTGGTGGTCGGAGGCTTTTTTCTAAACGCCTCGTCTCGCCTAGCGCCTCAAAGCGCCTCAGGCGCGCTTTTTAAAACACAGTAGCCCTTTACAATTTTGTTCTTTATATCAAACACACGAAGACTGTAAATTCTAAAACATCAATACCAGCTTATATAGTCGGCTTCCTCGGGCTTAAATCAAACCTGCAGTTTTCTCCATGCTCGTACGAGCATGGACAGACTTGTGCAATATGTAATACCAACAATAAATCAGGGAGTTCTCTATTCAAGACAATGACCAACAATATTATTCGAATGCATGAACAATATATGCAACATGCATCAAAATTAACCAGCAATGCAATTATAATGGGCCATAATGGAACAACATATGCAACATATATCCCTTGATTAGACTAGATGGGGTTCTACTTCATACATTCAAGTATGAAAACAGCTGAAGAAAATTCCAGCTCCCCCACATTAGTTGACAATTTAACTAGTTAAAACTTCAAAACTAAGTACTTACTATTTCTAACAGAAGCTTTCTGTCAAAACAACGACACCTCAACGCGGACAAGTAGATAAATTGAATTAAAAACTGAAAACTTGCAGCCTCCAGTATTACCTATTAAAGGTAAAAACAGAAACAAAAGTGTTAGCTAAAAACAGTAGAGGTGTACGCAGGTTGGGTGTCGTATATATGAATTTTGTGCCGGGGAAGTTTGACCTGGAACCAGAAATAGATATAAAGAATCTTTTTTTGAAAGCTAGCTTCGAATGTCAAAGAAAACATTCGGCTAAAGGAGATGTGGAAATCAATTTGAGTCTCTAGAACTAATCCAACATTATTCTAATTGCTACTATTCCTCGAAAATTGAAGTGATTCTTCTAGGCTTCTGCCAGATTCAAACTGCTAACACTATTTCTTGGAACAAAAGGATTATTTTTGCATTAAAATGTCACAACTCGATATCACATTCATACCTCAGTTTTCCGATGTAATTGTTGCTTGAACTTGAAATATTTTCCGCATTCATAAAAATGATATACTCTGTATCAGTAGTCCTACGAGTCCTTTTTACAGAAAGAAGGAATTTCCCATTCTCAACTAGCAGGGTTGCAAAACAGAACAAATACAAGTTCAGAACGGTGATCCTACCTGCAGTATTACCTATTAAAGGTAAAAACAGAAACAAAAGTGTTAGGTAACACTTTTTTCACTTAAAGGAGCTTAGACATTCAAACTGAAAGATCTAAAAAATGCGCAGAAAACTCTAATGTACTGAACAAATACAAGTTCAGAAGAGTTACTTCAACGGTACCTAGGAAGGATTCAACGGAAGATTCCTGATTGTAGCTGAAATTCAAGCGCTTAGGGCTTCAGAGATGCTTTTACGGTGAAAAATAGACCATAATTTTTTAATGAAAGCAAAAATGGACCACAACAGTAGGGAAGTTAGGGATCGGCAGAACAAACTCTGGGTGGGTATCGTGGACGCTCGAATAAATGGGGAGAGATTTTGGGGGTGTTAGGGATCGGCTAATGGTTTGATACAAAACTAAGTCAGAGCAAAACGGTTCGTTTGGGGTAAACGTTAAATTTTGCGGCGTTTATGTTTAAAAACGCATGTAAAGAATACATTTTTCGCGGTGTTTTGATTAAAAAAAAAACGCCGCTAACGTAAAAGTATTTTGCGGCGTTTGTCGAAATAACGCCACTAAAGATTACATCTATTGCAGCGTTTTTTTAGAAAACGCCACTATAGACGAACATATTGTGGCGTTTTTATAAAAACACCGCTAAAGTACAATCTATAGCAGCGTTTGGGTTTAAAAACGCCACTAATTTATGACTCTATTGCGGCGTTTATATTCAAACGCCACTAACAAACCACTTTGTACAACTAAAACGCCACTCTAAATTTTACCCTACTGCGGCGTTTGTATTAAAACGCCGCTAATGTACAATTATATATCGGCGTTTGTTCAAAAAACGACACTATGGATGAACCTATTGCGGCATTTTTGGATAAAAATGCCACTAAAGAAGAATTGAAATGATTTTAGGAATCGGCCATGAAAAGCATATATTTATCCTTTGGCGCTAAAATACACTTTATATCAACATTTTTGTTTAAATACGCCACTAATTTATGACTATATCGTGGCGTTTATATTCAAACGCCGCTACAGTACAACTATGTAAAGGCGTTTGTCTAAAAAATACCCCTAAATTACAAATATATTACGACATTTATTGATAAAACGCCACTATAGATTTTACCCTATTGCGGCGTTTGTATAAAAATGCCCCAAAAAGTTATGGATATAGCGGCGTTTTTTATCAACAAACGCCGCTAATTACCTTAATTTATATAAGTTTGCTTCATTTTAAATTTCCATTTATGCTCTACATAAACTAACTTTAATATCATTTAGTTTTACCTAATTAACAACAACCATACATTTTATTAAGCCAGAAGTTATGCATAAAAATACTTAACAACAAAAGACATTAAATTTTAGAAACATTAAAGTTATACATAAACAGTCTTTACCATATTGTTCACTATAATTTAGTCTTCATTGCTCCTTCGTGAGGAAAGGACGTAGGAAAAATGTTTTCCTTGTTTGACGACGCATCGTTAAGTTTTTCCTCCGGGTAAACACTATATGGAGAAACTCTTCATCCATTTCACCAAATAAATCCCCTACATCCGGTTCACCAAGAAGACTCTTTGCTTGCTTCAGTGCTTCACTTGAAACAGATAACGAACTTCCACCTACAGTATGAAACTTGATTGGAGGTGGCTTGGGAACTAAATCACTTGTTGGAAAAAAATTAAATAAATGCTAGAAACGTTTACTTGGAGTAACAGTAGAGCCAATGTCGTCTTCATTGAGGATAAATCTTGCTTTTGCAATTGAAGATTCTTTCAACGCCACACAGTTTCCAAATTCAGTTGTAAACATCGGGTATTTATCCACTCATTTATCATTGTTCTGAATAAGCTTCGAACATCATACATACGTGCACTCTATGAAATTTTAGAGTATAAAATAAAAATATAACGGCAGAAACTTTCAGCGATTATTACCTTCAATTAGGAGATCAGCCATGGAAGGCAAGTTCGGAGTTCCATTCGGGTCATCATCGAGTTTGGACGGCAAGTTCAGACTGATAGCCTCCCAACAATAATTTGATCCATCGTCAGAGCAAATATGCCACGTGGACATTCCGACGATAATTTCTCTTACTCAAGGTAAAACCTACTCTTTTTACCACAACCATTTGTTCACGTTTTCAAAAGCTGTTATTTTTCTATTCGAAACCGGCAAAACAATGCTCTCAACCAGTAAACCATTAAAACACTATGTATATATATGGAAAAACTATTATTTTTTTCAATTACGTTATCTTTTAATGTTATCCCCATTTTCATAATACCAAAAACAATAAATGAAAAAAATTCAGTAGTGAGAGAAGGGATCAAACCATGCAACCGTGAGATAACTGTTCGTCGATGAGAGACCCGATTTCGTCGCCGGAGAAGACAGAATACCACGTCGCTTGGAATCATGTGAGTGTCGTTCTTGTACCAGAGAAATCCCTTTTCAAGATAGCAGTGTTGAAATGATTTTAGGGATCAGGAAGGAGAATAAGATAGACCATATATTTACCCTGTGGCGGCGTTTTTAATAAAAACGCCACTATAGTAGATGTATATGCGACGTTTTAATAAAAAAGCCACTATAAACAAACATATTACGACGTTTATCAAAACACACCACTACATTACTGTTTTATAGCAGCGTTTGTTGCACAAACGTCACCATATCTAAACTTTTTGTGGCGTTTATCTAAAAACGCCACTAAATATCTACTCTTTTGCGGCGTTTCTTTCAAAACGCCGCTAAATTACTAGTTTTTTACGGCATTTTTTAGAAAACGCCACTATAAATAAATCTATGCCGGCGTTTATGGCACAAACGCCGTAAAATTACAACTATATTACGACGTTTTTTGTAAAAACGCCGCTAAAGTATCATTTTGTGGCGTTTGCAATATAAACGCCGCTATATCCCAAAATATTGTGACGTTTACTCTCCAAACACCGCTACAGAACACTTTTGTTGTAATGGCGTGACGTGTGTGAAGCGGTGATGCGAAGAAAGGAACGATCATTAGTGTGCAAAAGATTGCCTTTAAATATAAAGTAAAATATGTATTTAGTCAATCACTTATTTATATAATTTTATTTTTGTTGTTTAATTTTTATTTTAGAATTATGTTATATTTTTGTTTCGTTTTAATTATCTATTATTGAAAAATAACGATGATGACATATCATTATAAAATAATGTCACATTATTATTGAAAAAAAATATATACTTTACCAATTATATTTATTTTTAATGAAAAAGAATAAAAATAAAAGAAATTATATATAATTTAAAGAAATAATTAAATAACTGAAACGAAAGTACGAAATAATTAAATACATAGTTTATTTTAAATCTAAACCAAGACAAAAAAGGGGACATTGTATGTGCATATACATGGCTCCCACCACTCCAAACCATAACCTAATTATCTCACACTGAATTTCACTCGCCAACTGTATATGGGTAGCATTCCGGGAATAGCGATTTCAGTATGTTGAATTATGATATTTTGTAATTTTTAAAAATTGAGTCATTATAACCTACATTTGAACTATATTACCCTATCAAATTATGTCATTGGCTTCTACCATTATTTTATTAGCCATGAAAGCACATGGTAAGCTGCTAGAAGTGAAAAACTTCGGTATTGTAGCAATAAATGGAAATAGAAAGAAAAATATTACATCATAAATAGATTCTTCAGATATCTCATTTTTGATTGGATCGTCAAGAAATTTTAGTAACGAAGTTCATCAAAATTCTACCATTTGCACTTGGTTCAAATAGCATAAATGTAGCTACTCCTCAAAAAGGTTCTCTTAATGACGCAAACTAAAGCCTTGGAGCTAGGGTTATAAGTAAAATAAGACAGATCACAAGTAACTCAAAAAAATAATATATTAAAATTTTAAGTAAATTATTAATAATATTAATATTTATACATTGTTTTTTAAAATACAACATAAAAGAAATACAATATAAATATTTCATGTACTTAAAGTTCAGGTTCGAGTTTGAACTGAGTTTGATAATATTTTGAGTTCAAATTTTTTCGAGCTCGAATGGAACTTAATTGTATATTTCGAGTCAAGCTTGAAAACTTTAAGCTCGCGAGCTTTCAAGACGAGTCAAATTTCAATTTTTTTTTATTTCCTATTCGAATAGAAATTGACAAATTTAAGTTAGTAAGTTTTCGAGTCGAGTCGAGCTCAGCAATACTCGAACTCGACTTTTGCTTATTTACAGTCCTATTTGGAGCCCACCGGACCATTCTCCATTATGTCTACAAGTACAAAACTGAATGACCTTATCCCGCATTTACTTGCTGAAAGCACAAGAGAAGAATGGATGGTCTCTTTTGCCCTCCGAACTGCCACAGAAAGCGCTAGTATCACATCCACGCACCTGGAACAGATCCTTATTCTTGTCGGCAGGCAGCCTGTAAATAAAGGCCATACTTGTAGAGCATGGTTGGGAACATGGTACTTCCTGCTAAATGTATTATAAGTTGTTGAAATTTACTGTACCACTTGAGTTTTCTTAGGGAGAAAAAGAAAAATAACTTGATCGCTTCTTGGAACTAAAATTAGAATCAGATTTTCTTTCCATAAAATAACCAAAAAAGAAAATGCATGCACAATTTCAATAGAGATACTTGAAAGCAAACATAATTTTCATGAGATTTTTCATTATATATTAGCAATTTATCAAGTCCTACATTCTGATTCAAACACTAAGTTAAGCACAACTTACATAAACTTCAGTCCCGGTGCTTAACAGTGTGTGTATATATATATATATAATTATAGATACACTTAACGGTGCTTATCAGTTAAGCACAACTTACATGAACTTCAGTCCATAGATAGATATACAGATATATTAATAAGGACCTTTATGCATTCTTAAAATTGAAACACCTGCATAGAAGTTGCCATCTTCTGTATCCATGGAATAATAGTTGATATGATTCTTGATGATAATGTTGATGCTGGTATCTCCCTATAACAAACTGGATGGATAGTTTCTTTTTCTTGGATTTGATTGAAGGTTTGTCCACTACAAGCCCTGGGCACAGCAGCACCCTTATAAGCCTTGCACACATAGCTTAAATAGTTTTCATAGTCCTGCAATACGATCACAGATATAACGTCATTTCAAATGAATATGTAAGCCATCAATACCGACATTGATTCCAAGTAATTGGGATCGTCAATTAATTTCAAAGTCAAGGAAACAAACCTCGTAAAGTGGCTGCCCATCCACAACGACCCAAGGTACATATTTATGTGGAGGCTCGAGGGCATTAGTTTCAGCAGCATATTGTAGATCAAGCTGCATAAAGATAACAATTCCTCATTAAGCCATTTAATAATGCACACAGGATATTGTTCTAACATGATTTTTCTAAGAAAAATGTGCAAACTATCGTCCCCTAGGAATGTAAACAACCTATCCATGGATAGTATTTAAATAACAATGAAGGAAAATCAAACAACAGAATCATAGAGGCTGAAAGACACGTAAATCTTCAAAATATAGTCAAAGATATAAGAAAACTGAAAATCAAGTTCTATCAGTGGTTATTTTGTACAAAAAAAATAACAGGTGCCTGTGAAGTTATAAACTCATTCTTTTCATGGTGATAAGTAATTAAAATAACTATAAAGCTGAGCAGTGTTCCTTCCTTTCTATTTTATCATTCCACTTTCACTCGGTCTTGCAGGTGAAGTTTCATTTATGGCTTTCTGATTTCTGTTCCAATAGTGACTTCACAAATCACAACCAATCAGCAATTCAACAGAGTCATCATAAGAATCACTAAAGTAGAAAAACTTTTCTTTAATTAAAGTTTCTTCAGGTACTCCAAATCAAACTAGGACACAAAATAACCGCATGTTATATCCCCTTTTGCTAACATCAGTTGGAGAACAAAAGAATTGAGGTTGTCAATTACCACGGATACTGATATCATATTTCCTCGTGCACCATTAATCTCATCATAAGATTACACGTCAAAGCTGTGGTTACATGTTAAACTTCTTTCAGGGCTACTAAACACAACAACATGTTACATCCCCTTCGTTAAAATCAGTTGGAGATGATAATGTCTATTATTATGGGCATGGATATCATGATGAAGCCCTTTCTTTGTGCAACATAAATCTCAAATCAGAGTATGATAAGGTTACAAGTCAAAGTTATGGTTACATGCTAAACTTCTTTAAGGGCAACTAAATGCTCACATCTCAGGTTCTTCAAATTAGTACTATGTTAAACACCAGGATATTCAATTGTTAACAAAAAATGACAAAGAAAACATTTTCCTGACAGAATATACTATCAAGAGGACTAAGAAATATAATCCATGTTGCATCACATGAATGAACATAGTCAAATACTCCAATTGTAGCACAGAGAGCAGTGACTAACTTTTTTCCCAAGTCCATTGATGTAGCAATCAATAACGGGCTTTGCTTCCAATCCCAATTTCTCAAAGCACGATTCCCATTCAAGGTACTTCCTCTCAAATACCAGAGCCTCAACGCAATAGATAAAAGGTAAATTGTCATTCTGTATGGAAAAGGCCAAAGGTTAACAGTTGGAACGTAGATTCGGTTATTAGTTATGGCATCTTCTATTATAAAAGATAACAGTTTAAACTTTTGAGCCAAAATTAACTACAGAAAAGCATGGTGAAAATACGGAAATACTACCAGCTTAGGCCAGGCATCAAGTGCACAAGCTTCCACAGTGTTCAACAAACATTCAGCAGGGCCATGCTGCAACCAAAATAAATAAAAACAGTCAAATAAAAGCCGAATTGAAAAGATGGTTTAAATTGAAACACAATAGAATATATAATAAGTAGACCTGGCATTCAAAAGTATCGTTGCCTTTGAGTTTAGCGTTTCCCCAAGGAACGAGGCGGAGATCGACGATGGAGATGAGATCATCTTCGAAGAGCTTCGGCAGGTAATTGACTATGAAATTGGCGCTGAAGGGGCAAAGGGATTCGTAATATAAAGTCAATGAGACTTTATCTGAATCAGAAGGAAGAATTATTCTAGAAGCAGAACAAAATGAGAGCCGCAAAAGGAGGCAACACAAGACTGAAACGGCAACTACAAGTCGATAAGCTGCCATTGAAGAAAGGGGAGAATTCCCTAAAATTTTGGGCTTTTTCCTATTAAAAGGGGACGAAAATATCGGTGACCCGAACTACTAGAAGGCGAGGGAAGAGAATAAAAATACCTCAACTACTATACAGGTGTTAAATGCTCAGGCCAGAAATCATAACGCCTACTCTCATATCTGCACCTACCCTTTTTTTGGGCAAGGTACATTATTAAAATATTTTTTAGTCAATAAATTATTTAATATTACAAAATAATCATAAAATATTTTGAATTTTATAAAATGATCCTTTCATATTATAAAATGATCCGTTCACATTATAAAATGATCCGTTCATATTATAAAATAGTAAAAAATATAAGAATAATTTTACATAGTTTAATAAACTCAATGACTATTTTATAATATTGAGAAGTTTATTGACCAAGAAGATAACTTTGATATAGTTAAGTGAAATGTAATATACTTTATCCCTTTTTTTAGTAAAACATACTAATTATCATTGAACCATAGTTAAATGATTATTTTGAAAGTTAAACTTTCAAATATTACAAAATAATTATTATATTTATTAAAATATTATATTTTAGATAATTACATATATATCTTATATTGTATTTAATGTAGAAAAATATATAAAATATACAAATCATGTTAATGTTAGTTAAGATGTTAATATGAGAAATATAACAATCGAATAATAATAATAAATGAATATTATTATATAAATCGAATGAAATATTAATATAAAATTAAAATAAAGGAACAAGATTTGTTTACTCGTATTTAGACATGAAGTTAGAGGAACATGATAAAATAAACAGAAAAGAAATTTTGTATGAACAATTTTTTAAGAAAGATTTGTCATTTCTTCGGTGATTTGAGTAATGTTGGACGACGGTCTCCCAAAATATAACAATAAAAACGATCACAATGGTAAGCATAGCCGTAATGATCAGTTGAAGACAATCTTACTCTTCTATATCACCAGAAAGAACAAATTTAAAAAGAATTTTTAAGTGTTTTTTCTATTCCAAAATTCTAAGTTATGAGTTGTGTCGTATCTAAATTTGTGTCTAAACTAACCCATTTATAGGAGAGGAACTAGATTGAAAGAATAAGACCTTTGATGAAAGAACTTCACATTTTGATAGAAAAGAGTTAACCTTTTGAAGAAGAAAATTATTGAATAGATGTAATTTTAAATTATATATTAAATTTATTAATAAAGTTATATGACTTATTATTAATAAATTATATATACTATCTATTCGTTCAATTATTTTTTCTAACAATTAAAATGGTATCGATATGTATAAATAAGTTGTCCATGTTTTGTTTCATTTTCTCTGCAGTTTTTTTAATGGCGTCTTTTGAATCATCCATCTTCCCAAGTACAGTTTCTTTAGCATTTAGAGCAGCCTCTGTGGTTGAGTCCTATACCTGCTTCGTTTTCGCACTTAATCAGTGGCAAAAACACAAAAGGGATAGTAAGGACCGTGACCCTCCAAAATTTAATAAAATTATAATTTAGACTTTTATATTTAAAAAAAATTAATTTGATCCTCTCAAACTTTTTAGAAATTCAGATCAAACTTTATTTATTTTTTGAATGTTCTTAATTAAATTATTTTTCATAAATTTTTGAAAATTCTCACAAAGCATCTCAAAATTTTAAAATTTTGAGTTATATCCCACTTTTTTTTTTTGGAGAAAAATGTAAGCTAAACCCTTCAAAATTTTTAATTTAAACATCTAACTTTTTAAAAGTTTTAAAATGACCCTCAAACTCTATTTCTAAGTTCCATCACTGCATTCAGAATTCCTTACACCGCACCCGTCACCTTCCTGGTTAGTCTCTTTGCCTTCTCTTTCACGTACTACAAATTTTCAATCCTCAATCATTTATCGTAATCGATCATAACAACATATATTGTATTTACGATGACTATAACATAATCAAAATCATGTTTGTCAAATTACTTGGTTAGCGGTAGAAATAGTATTATATATATATATATATCTTTCACATTGTCTTCGATCTCCTCCGCTTGATCAGCTCCATGCTTAATAGTTTCCTTTGCCTTATCAAATGCTTGAACCTCCTGGTTTGAACTCACCTACGCTACATGATAATATAAATATTTCAACCAAAAGAAACTCGCTCAACGAAGTCGACTGAGAAGAAATAGAAAAAAAGAGTAACTCGAATAAATCTTGGGGAAGCATGTGGAAGAAGCCTGTTCCTATGAACTCTACCTCCAGCAAAAGTTCCTATATCTGAAGGATTGTTAACATGGTTTAACATTGCCATTTTAACTTCTGTCAACTTTGCTTCGTGTTACTATACCTAGCAATTTAGTTTAAAAATATATAAATCTGAAATTCATTTTTCTTTTAATATGATATTAACTAGAGTATAAAATATATGTAAAAACTATCTAAATTTTAGTCAAATATAAGATCTACTTCTGTGGTTAGGTGTTTTCTGACATTATATACATGCAATTGTATAACAGATAATCTTCGAGTTCGAGTAGCGTACTGTGTATGAATTTAGATCTAGGTCTTTTTGAAAAAATAAAGAAAAATCATTCAATCAAACGATGATACGTGTCACCATATGAATATATTATTAAATTTATTGAATTAAATTGAAATTAGAATTGAATTAATTGAATATATAAGTATTAAGGATCAAGTGTATAATTATACAAAGTTTGTTAATGTCATGTCAACACTTCTATTCGATGTTAACGATGTGATTTGATTGTCATAATCTAAATAACTAAATGATTTGAGTAAAAAAATTAAAAGATTGATGATCAAAATGCAAAAAAATAATAATCAATTAATCATATGTATAGTTTACCTAATATTTTATGTTATTAGTGTGAAGTGTTGAGCATTGCCCGCTCAAAGAGAAACAAGCGGCAAGACAACGTGTTTCAATTGGTTAAAAAGAAGGGGAAAGGAAAATTACCGTCGGTTTTTTATATCTAACAAAAAGCCCTACTTCCATCGTCAAAGGATGTACGGCCAAGACAGACGCGAAGCTGCTCCGCCTTCTTATGGTGGTGGATATGATAGTTCTGGAGGCTCTAGTGGAGGTCACGGGGGCCGTGGAGGCGGCAGAGGAGGCGGCAGAGGAGGAGGTGGAGGATATAGCGGTGGTACTCAAAATCGAGGTAATTTTTTTGGTTGATTTGTGGGTTAGCGTTGTTGACTATTATTTGCTTGCATTTTTATATTGGTTTTATCGAGATCGATTCGATTTTAGGCTTTTGTTCACACTTTTAATAAATGGGATCTTGATGTTGCAGGAGGCGGAGGAGGCTATCAAGGAGAGCGCGGTGGAAGAGGCGGTAGCCGTGGTGGAGGCGGACGAGATGGTGATTGGCTTTGCCCTAACCCCAGGTAAAGGATCTTTTCACTGCGTTTGATTACTTTTGGGGAGGTTTTCCCCTCCCTTATGGATTTCGTATTGTTAATTAGTCAAAAATTAAAGCATTGGTATTGCTGATATTTTCATATTACTGTAAGTTGTCTAGATTTGTGTAATTTAAACTGGAATGTCTATGTAGCTGTGGGAATTTGAACTTTGCAAGTAGAGTTGAATGTAACAAATGTGGTGCACCCTCTCCTGCGGCTTCTGATGAACGTGGTAGTGGTAGTACTAGTGGTGGTCATAGCAGAGGTGGTGGTGGGGGATATGGTGGTAATCATGGAGGTAGAGATGGGGATAGAGGTGGTTATAATAGTGGGAGGAGTAACAACTATAATGGAGGCAGAGGTGGGAATTATGATAATAGAAGTGGTGGTAGTAGACGTGGTTCTTATGGGGGTAGTCAAGGAGGGGAAGACGGTGGCTATGGTAAAGTTCCTCCTCCAGCGCCCAGTTCTTATGGTGGAAACTATCCACCTGCTCCTAATGCATATGGTGGAAATGCAAATTATGGAATGGAAGCTGTTCCTTCACCTACAGGCTATACTGGTGGACCCACATCATACCCTCCATCTTATGGTGGCCCTGCAGGTGGTGAGGGTTTGAGTGATGTGAGGACTGGTGGTCGAGGGGGAGCACCTGGTGGATATGATGGTGGGTATGGGTCTGGTGGTCCTCGAAATCGAGGAGGTGGTCATGGTGGCCCTCCTGTTGACACATCAGTTAAGATCAAGCAATGTGACGGCAACTGTGGTGATTCTTGTGACAACTCAAGAATATACATATCAAATTTGCCACCTGATGTTACTATTGAAGAATTAAAAGACCTTTTTGGTGGCATTGGACAAGTAATGACCAAATCTTTTACTTCAAATCCGTGTGTTGTCTAATGGGAATTATGTCATCTACTTTGTACCGGTGTTTTTGTTTTATTTTCAGAGCTGGTATTTGTGGTCTATGATAATTTTTCTTTAAACCTTATTTTATTCTCTAGTTCCATGTTTTGGTGGACTTGGGCGTTTTTACATATGGGGTTGTATTGGCAAGTTCTTTTCTTATTTTGCATAAAATTTTGGCATCCTCACTAGTATTACTAACAATTCACATCTTGTTTAGGTTGGAAGAATTAAGCAGAAGCGTGGCTATAAAGATCAATGGCCCTGGAATATTAAAATATACACAGATGAGAAAGGAAACCAGAAAGGCGATGCAGTTTTGTCTTATGAAGATCCTCAGGCTGCTCACTCTGCTGGCAGTTTCTTTAACAGTACATACCTTTGAACTTCTTTATTTAGTTTGTTGCCTTAAATATTTCACCTCACCCTTGTTGAATCTTCTCTCAGATCATGTCATGAGAAGCTATACAATCAGTGTGGCTATGGCAGAGAAGACTGCACCCAAAGTATATGATCATGGGTATCATTTTAACCCTTCGATTACCTAACATAAAACTGTTTCATCGGGCTTTTCTCTGGATTGAGTTCATCTATGTTGCGTTTAGATGTTTTATTTTAACATGTAATTTATTAGTATATGATATCTATTAGCATTTTTTTTTTGCTCTCGGGCAATGTTATATATGTTGGGTTCCTGCTTTTAAATTTGTGCTTGCTTTCATTTCTTTCTGAAATCAAGTTCTCAAATGGCCACATCTTGTTATCATTAATGGTCTATGGTTTTACTGGTCTTGTCTTGAAAATTTTAGCATGGTTTGCTTGTATTAAAGTTAGGTAGCCCCTTATGCATGTCACTTTAGAAGTAAACAGCAGAAAATATTGCCTAAATTTGTTTCTTCCTTGAACTTTTACCAAGTAAACTTGTTCTTGGCCCAAGTAAATTTTGTTTTTGTTTAAGGTGTATTATTGACCCCCTTTTTTTATAGAGGTGGTAGAGGTGGCTACGGAGGTGGTGGCAACAGGCGCAAGGATAGTTACAGAGATGGAGGTTCTGGACCAGACAGGCACAACCATGGTGGAAACCGTTTGCATCCGTATTGAAGGATATCGAGCTTCAAGTATTTTATGTACTAAGAATTGTGGTCTAAGGGTTCTAGTTGTGTTGCATTGACTGGATTATTCTTGAACAGGAGACTAAGAGGTAGGTTGTTCACTGGTCTGGGTAATACCTTTTTTTTCTCCTAACTCCTTTGTTTTCTGTTAGCTGGGTTTTTTTTCGTCCTTGTCGTTAGATTGATCGAGTTTGTGAATCTTTTTATAGAGGCAAGTGGATTAACTCCAAATTGCTTGCTGCTAAGGTAGGTTGATAATTTCAGGTGAGTCCTGCTCTTCTAAATAACACATTTACCCTTTTGTTTGGTTAACCCTTAGTGGTGGATTCGATTTTATTCTCTCCGCTCATTATTCAACATGGTGGAACAAACTCGTGATTTATATGCATGGGCATCTTTTATATTGAAGTGCGATTTGATTAAAGATTATGGAATTTAGCATCCCATGCTGGAATGTAGGTGCTGTTTAGTGACGATCTCAAGCTAATTAATCTGGTGGACAATATGTTCTAAACTATGTTATAACATTATGGCTGGATTTAGTGTCGGTAAATTAGTTTTTCAGGGGGTGATGTGGGGGTCGTGTTGCAAATAAAAAAAAAATGGTTGGGCACAATGAGTGGTTGAAGTGGCATTGGATGATTGAATAAGCACTTGGTGGTGGCGGCAGTCGTATTCTTGGGCGTGTGAAATGCAGGACAACTGCTGGAGGGTTGTTGTAGCATCGATCTAAGGATTCAAGCACCTTGTGATGCTGCATGTTGAACCTTTCTCTGACGTGTAAGGTGGTGAATGTAGCAATGAACTTGTGTCGTCTGATAATTGTAGTGCCGATGGTTTCTGTCATGAAGTTTATCTTTAGTATATATACGCCATCGTTTTGTTAAGTAGAATGTTGTCAATTGAATTGCTGCCGCTGTTTAAATAATAGAGGCAAAGGTGCTGGAAATGCACTAATTAAATATATCGTCCGATTGGGCAAATATATGAATCTGTCGAATATCTATGCCAAGTGTAATTAATCTCTTGAAATCTTATTGTGTAAGAGATATATTAAATAAGAATGACATGTTTTAGTTCAAAAGTGAATTATCATGCCCCAATGTCAACAGCTATTTTCAAAATTCCGACGATCCCCGCAACTCAAAAAAATCCAGAAGGCAAGACGATGATCCATAAGATAAGGGTGGATCCCCTTTTCCAACTGATGGCATAGCGTCGATGGAGATCTCCCCCCCCCCCTCTCCCCCCGGGGGGGCTTCTGCATGAATCTCTGCTTCTCGGCAGTCTTATCCCTGAAGAAGCGATACCTCAAGCGAATCGATTGGGAAAGCTGATGTCCTACAAGGCCTCCTTGATGAATAACACTGAATTAATGAATAATATTCAACCAGAACGCAATTTTGAAGATGAGATTCTTGATGAGGACGACATTGAAATCCAAGTAGTCCGAGGCATGATCGATGGTTTAATCTCAACCGATTTCTCTGATCGAATTCGATCGTTAGCTGCTAAATCTCTGGATTAGACAGTAGTGCTCAAACTCCTTGGGCGACGCATTGGATACAACGCTCTGAAATTAAAAAAAAATTATGAATTATGGAAATCGAACATAGCAATCAAATTAATGGATATCGAAAACGATTATTTCCTCGCCTCTTTCCACTCTAGTGATTATTATCTTACTGCTCTTGCAGTCGCAGATGGACCTTGGACGATCTTTGGACATTGCCTTACCGTTGAGCCATGGACGGATGAGTTCTCAACATCAAATCGTTTCCCGACGAAGATCATGGCGTGGATTCACTTACCAGGCCTTCCGGCAACACTCTATAAGCGCAGCATTATTACGAAATGATGGTTGATAATGGAACAAAGTTGAATCTTCAATCTGTGGCGCACTCTAGTGATCCTCCTGATCCCCAGATTAATTTGAAGTTGGAACTTGCTGATAACATGGCTATTGACATTTCTTCGAGCAGTGGCAATTCTACCGTGAATATGGGCCATTAATCTCTTCCAGGAGACGTGCATCAGTCGACCCAATCTGTCTAATTTTGGGTACCTCCTTTTCTATTTGTTTATTTTATTATGAATTTTAAAGCATTTTATTGGAATGTGCAGGGCTGTGGCCATCCTAAATTTATCCCCACGGCGAAACAATACCTTCGGGATAATCGACCAGATTTAGTGGTTTTTGTTGAACCTCGAGTCAGCGGTAGAAAAGCTGATTTTATTATTCGCACTCTTGGCTTCTCTTTCACGCATCGCATTGAAGCGGCCGGTTTCTTTGGAGGAATTTGGCTCGCTTGGTATGGTTCGCTTCAAATTGAGGTTATTCTTAACCACTTTCAATTTCTTCATCTTCGCATCAATATTATCAATGATGGTAAGTCAGTCCTTGCCACCACTGTTTATGCTAGCCCCAATGCTACCAAAAGATCCTCTCTTTGGAACCATCTTCGTCATATGGCTGATACTATCCGAAGTCTTTGGATTATTTTTGGTGATTTCACTGCTACCTTAACTCGTTTGGATAGGCTTGGATGTGCTTTTTCTACCAAGCCGAGTACAGCTTTTCAGAACCTTATTTCAGATTACGGTATTCGTGATATGGGGTTTCAAGGTCCCAACTTCACTTGGTCTCGTGGCAAAGCTAATGTCCGTCTTGACAGATTCCTTTGCAATGATCTTTGGGACGAGAATTTCCGGAGTCTCAAGTTAATCACCTTCTTAGAATGCGCTCGGATCTTAGACCCATCCTTCTTCAAGCTGGCAATTCGGCTCTCTTTAATTCTAGTTGACCTTTCTGCTACTTCTCTGGGTGGAATTCCCATGATGATTTCGCTCGAATGGTTCGTGATAATTGGATCCCTTCCAATGATTTTTCGACTACTACTACTAATTTCAATAAATCTGTGGAGGATTGGAATAAAATGATTTTTGGTTTCATTGGTACTAAAAACCGTATCATCAAGGCTCGCCTAAAGGGTATCTAAAAGTCTCTTTGTCATCGTAAATCTCGCTTCCTTATTAATTTAGAAGCGGATCTCTTAGTTGAGTTTGAGAATATCCTTGATCAGGAGGAGCTTTTGTGGCGACAAAAATCTAGGTCCAACTGGATCACGAATGGGGATCGAAACACTCGTTACTTCCACCGAAGAGCTACTAGCCGTAGACAAAGAAATAAAATTACAAACTTGAAATTGTCTAACGGGGAGTGTTGTTCCGATAAAGATACTCTTCGCGAAGAAGTTGGTGCTTTCTTTCAATCTCTTTACTAATGATGATTCTAACGTTGGTAGTTTGTCTTTGACAGGTCACTTCCCAACCATCCCGGAGTCTCTCTTACATTCCTTGGATACGATCCCTTCAGCTGATGAATTCATGGAGCTCTTATGAAAATGGCCCCTCTCAATTCCCCTGGTTGGGACGGCTTACACGCTGAGTTCTATCAAAAGCACTGGAGCATTATTGGTCCCTCCATTTGCAAGCTTATTCAAGACATCTTCAACGGGGGTGTTAATGATTCGGACTTAAATAAGACTATTTTGGTTCTTATTCCCAAGTCTGATCACCCTGAAACTTTTAAGTACTTTCACCCAATAACTTTATGCACGGTTCCTTACAAGCTTCTCACCAAGATCATTGTGGAGCGCCTCAAACCGATCTTCCCCATTCTTATCCATTGCAATCAAACGAGTCTTATCGCCGGCAGATCAATTGTTGGCAACATCATTGCCAACCAAGAAATTGTGCACACCATGCGCACTTCTAAATCCAAAGATGGCTGGATGGCGATAAAAGTTGACCTTGAAAAGGATTTTGACCATCTTCATTGGAACTTCTTCTTGATGCAGGTTTTCCTAGGGGAATCGGACACGTCATAATGGATTGTGTAACTTCTTCTACCGTGCAAATTCAATGGAATGGCTCATTCTCTCAATCCTTCACCCCTCATCGCAGTATTTGTCGAGGGGACCCTCTATCCCTTTACTTGTTTGTTCTTGATATAGAGCGTCTCGACCATCTTATTCATGATGCTGTCCACCGAGGGCCTTAGGTTCCTTTATCTCATCTTTTTTTGTTGTTGATGATCTTATTCTTTAGTCTAAAGCCAACATGCAACAAGCTCTTATCGTTGAGGATATCTTACGCACTTTTGGCAACCGTTCGGACCATCGGGTTAATAATTTGAAAACCAAAATTTACTTATCGCCGAATACTAGAGAAGACTTGAAAAGTGCCATTAGTAACCGCTTGGGTTTCCCCTCCGTCAACCATTTGGGCTCTTATCTTGGTGTTCCGGTTAATCACAGCAGAGTGAAAATTTCAGACTATAATTTCATCCTCGACAAAATGAGGAATCGACTTAATGGACGGGCAGCCAAATCTATTTCCTTTGCTGGGCACTTAACATTGGCTAAGTCCGTTCTTTCGGCCATCCCTATTTCATGCATTCCGCTCTTTTACCTATTGGGGTTTGTCGAAAAATCGAGTTAATTGTTCAACGATTCATTTGGGGCTCTAACGCTTCTACTAGAAAATTTTCCCTTGTTCACTGGGAAGCTCTTTGTTAACCCCTGGATTATGGCGGCTTGGGACTTCGTAACACTCATGACTTTAATATTGCCTTCCTTTACAAAATTGGTTTTAAGCTCCTTAACGATTCTGAAGTTTTATGGGTTCGCCTTCTTCATCAAAAGTATAAGGTTGATTCCCGCCACCCTTCTACAATCAGTCGCAACAATTGCTCTCCTTTATGGCGCGCTCTTTCGAATCACTGGGAGAACTTTCAAGCCAACATTATTTGGTCTATTGTTAATGGTTGCACTGCAATTCCTCAACGATGTTTGGATTCACTCTATCGGTCATTAAGACAGTATCTCCCTGAGCATTGTTGTAAGGTTACCAACTTCACTTATGTTGATTTCGTCACTGATACAGGGCAATGGAACATCAACGCTCTCCATCTCTACTTCCCGGTCAGATTGTTCAGCACATTATTAGTATCCATGGCCCTGACCCCAACGATAATAATGATAGTTGCGTTTGGAAGCTCAATTCAAACAAGTTTGACATCAAATCTGCCTACCACTGCCTTATAGCTTCTAGTTGGGACCCCAAGTCCCCGATTTGGAAGGATATATGGTGTATTCCAAATCCTCAACGTTTCGTAATAAGCTGCTTACAAATGATGAAAGATGCAAAAGAGGCATCTCTGAATCTGCTAGTTGCCACCGGTGCTCATGTTCGATCGAATCCGTTCTTCATGTCCTTCGTGACTGCCCAAGTACCTCTGCTCTTTGGAATCGCATCCTCCCTCCCAACATGAAGAGTTCGTTCTTCAACCTAGACATTCACTCTTGGATTCATATGAATATCATGGCTAACTCTATTCACCCAATCTGGGGTATGCCTTGGAAGTTTTTGTTTGGTGCCTTCTCTTGGTCCATTTGGAAAAGAAAGAATGAATTCTATTTCAACGCAGGAGCTCCCTCGGATTCTGAAGTCAAGCGATCTAGCCTTAATTGGGCCAGTTATTTTAATGGTATCTTAATTAATCGCTCTTCTAATTCTGGCTTGCAACAGGGTCAAAAACGCTGGAGAGCTCCGGACTCGGGCTGCTGCTGTCTCAATGTGGATGGAGCTGTCTCTCAACCGAGTGGCGAAGGTGCGATTGATGGTCTCATTCGAGATAATGATGGAAATTGGATCATTGGCTTTCACAAGGCAGTAGGCATTCTTGATGCTCTTCATGCCGAGCTCTGGGCAATGCACGATGGTTTGCTTTTTTCCTGGCAACAAGGTTTCGAATCTTTTCAACTCTAATCGGACTGCCAACATGCTGTCCACCTGATAAATGAACCTACTGCGTCCACCTCTCCTTTATCTCTGGACCTAATCAAACATTTTGTTGAACTTTGGGAGTTCTGAATACCCTTGTTTCATCTTGAAATTAATTACATTTTTTACAAACATGATTTATATTCTAACTA